TCTGGAAGAGCAGTCAGTACTCTTAACCTCTGAGCCATCTCTCCGGCCCTGCTCACTTGCTTTCTTACATAACTCAGGACCACCTGCCCAGGAGTGGTACTGACCCTAGTGAGCTGGGCCCTCCCACATCCATCATTAATCAAGAAATGCCCTCTGGACAGGCCAGTCTGATGGAGGCATTCTCTCAGTTGAGAGTCCCTTTACCCGGATGACTCTAGCTTGTGTCAAGTTGACAGCAAACTAGCCAGAGCAGCCACCGTCACATTCTCTGTATTCTTTTGACAGGTGTTGGTTAGTCTACTCACTGTGTTGTTTCACCTGGCAGGCTCGTAGCCAGAAGCACACAGGAAAAACAAAACAAATTTGCTCTGTCGAGACCCTGGTACATTTGTCAGCCCCTGTCTTATGTCTTCCCTCCTGACTCAGATGTGAAGGCTCGGTTTTCCTTTGTTGATTTTCAGAGCTCAGCCTGTTCTCTCTGGTGTCCATGGCTTAGGGACACAGTGACCCAGAAGGTTCGAGCACCCTCACCCCCCACTCCAGCTGCCCACAGGCTGTGCAATCCCTCTGAGGAGTTCTTTTCCTCTCTGTGAGTGGAAATCCCAGAGCCAGCCAGACTTCTTCCAGTCCAGGGTATCTTCTAGCTCTAAAACCTGCCAGCTGGTCATACCATTTGTCTCCAGCTAATGCATTGCTCACACTTTCCCTGTCCTGTCCATGGTCCTCTCTCCTCACCGCCGCCATCTTTGCTTCCATCTGCCTTCAATTGTCCCAGATTCCTGTAACCGTGAAGTCACTTGGTTCCATAAGGCCAGAGTAGCCTTCATGACTAAGCTTTTTTCCTTTTTTCTTTATGGGTCTAAAAGAAAAAAAAAAAACAGAAAAAAAAAACCAAAACACAACTTCTGGAAAGCTGTTTGGCTGAGATTAAGTTCTAAAAGTTAGAATTTTTATGAAGAAGTAAAATAGCATATGCTGATTGTTATAGTTCACCAAATATGAAGCTCTGAGTTCCATCCTCAGAACTAAAAGAAAAGAAACAAAGAAAAGAGAAAACAAAACAAAACAAAACAAGCCCTATTGTGAATTTAAAATGTTTTCAAAAATAAAAGAATGGACAAAACTATTTCAACCAGATACAAACCATTAAAAAAGTTGCAAGGTCATTAGCTGATAAAATAAAATTCCAATAAAATTCCAATTCCAAAATTCCATTTAAATGGCCTGAATGGAACAAAGCAATTCTTCATACAAGAACAAGAGATGCAGTTTATGAAGATATGGAAATCAAATCTGTATGCACCAAATAACATAGCAACTAAACCCATAAAGCAAAAAAAGTTAGAAATCCAAAGCAAGAGTGCTCCACTCTTTTCTCATCTACATGGGGCTGCCACACTTTTTATGTGGTACCTGCTGTGTTACAAGTGGTTTTTTTAATACCTTGTTCAGGAATCCTTATCATTTTGCAAAGGGGGAAAATAAGGCTCAGAAGAGCTTGACCCAGGTCTCTCAGTGAACACATAGCAAAGCGAGATGGGTTTGCACTCTCCCTTTCCCCTCTTTCTGCTTACCTGTACCTCCACCATCAGGAGCAGGCACATTTGTGAAGGAAGCCTTTAATGAGTGTGTCCACTTAGGCTTTGAGCCTTGAAAGCGGCAGAGCTTCTGTCTGGGCTTGGCTCACAGTAAAAGCTCAGGATTCAACAACAACAACAAAAAGATGCTGCAGTCATTGATGCTAAAATCCCTTCAAAAAGAAGGTAGTAAGGAAGGAGAAAGGAGGAAACAGTGTGTGGAGGAGTGAAGATGGAGAGAGGGCTGCAGGCAAGCGGGAGGAAGAGTGTGCCTCCATCTCCAGGCTCTGCTGGCCTGTGTTTCTAGGTCACTTTGTATTCTGGGAAATGATGCTGCCTCTTGGAAAATGTCTGTTTAGCTAAGAGATTTATTTTGGGAGTGTAGTCTCCAGACCTTTGAAGGGCCTCCGAGTGCCACGGATACAGACAGCCTTTTGCAGAGTGCCTGTCCTGGCGGCAGCTCCCTTTGTGGTGAGCTGCAGGCAGGATTGTCCGGGCGTGGCTCAGACAGCAGATCCGAGGTCAGGAGGCCCAAACTGGCCCCAGCCAGGGGAGTTACCCATGTGGATGTCTTTCCCCACTGAGCCTCAGTTTCCTTTGCCCATCTGGCCTCATCTACTGCACAAACAAACTCCTGCTATGTGGGCATCAGGATCCCAGAGAGGAGCAGTGTTCAGACGCCTCCCATCCATTCCTCAGTTGTCCTGACCCAGTGGACCTGAGTAGTGCTGCAGAACCTGTGTTTGAACACCTTCCCAGGTGGCATGCTGCTGGTGATTGTGGTTTGCAGCTGTAGACCCTTGGTGGTCAAGGAGAGCCCTTGAGAATTTGGGGTCCTGGTGATGGTGACACTGGGCTTGGCAGTTGCTGGCCTTTGCCTATGGCAGCTATTGTGCACCAGATCATGTGCAGTCCTGAACCTTGCTTTGAGGAACATGGCAGCCTTTGTTCACAGTCCCTGTCTGTGGGATCATGGCTTTGCTGTTTTTCTTGAGTGACTGTGGGTAGGTTGTTTTATTCCTGGCCCTCCACCTCTCATCTGCTGAGAGGGATTGATAATGGCCACTTCCTTGGGGGCTCATGAAGTCAGAGTAAGTGACAGGCTGGGCACAGCTTCAGTGTCACCTGTGCTGGCCCCACTACACAGTGAGCAGGGGGTACAGGCCTCAGCAACCGAATACCAGAGCTGGCTGATCGGCCTCTAGGCTCACAGAGGTTGTTATGAAATGGCCGTGAATGAATGTTGAACCAGCATGAGCAGATAGTGAACACACCCTACATGTGGCAGGAGAGCAAGGGAAGGAAGGATGTGGGCAGAAAAAAGGAGAAAGAACGTGTCTGTCTACTGGTAGTCGGAGATGTGAGCATCCCCAGGCGTGAGAAGTGAGAACAGCCTGCCATGCATGAATGTTTCATCCAGGAAATGTGGGCGTCATGGTATCTGGAATTCCTCCAGGGAGGGGGTGAAGAAGGGCTGTCCCTCAGGCTGCAGCCATAACCTCTTGGCCTCTGGAGAAGGTGCACCTCCCTTGGGGTGAGTGTGCAACCCCAGGGGACTTGGGGAATACTAGGAGGCCTTTCCTGGCATTTGCCCCAGCAGAAGCTTTGCCTTGCTTCTGGAAATGGCAGTCCCTGGACCGGATGAGCATCACTGAGGTACAGACATAGTGATTGGCTGGCTGCCAGTCAGCACAATAAACGATTTGTGCTCCACTTGTATAATGTGCCCCCGAGAAGTAGTTTCTGGGGATTCTGAAACTGAAAGATGACTTGATGTGTCCCCTGGGAGACAGACATGCTCTGTTGCCTCTTAACCTTTCAAAGCACAAACCTCTCTGGGAACTGGAAGTTGTGGATCCTTCTTCAGGGGAAGAAAATAAAATTGCTTCTCCATGAAGACAGGATGACCAGCGGTCCTGCCATGCTCGGGATTGGAACTAGACCCAGCCAATCACCAGCTTCTTCATGGCCTCACAGGTTTCTTCCCAGGAGCACTGGGGGCTAACCATCCTGTTTGCACCATTTGTTGGCTGAAGAAGAACAGAAGTGTCCCCATAGTGTTAAAGACCAGGCCATTGGTTATTTGAGCTTGGGTGTGGGGGTGTTTGAGTGGCTCCTGGACTCTTCAGCTTTTGACAGAAGATCTAACTGGCCAGTGGGGAGGGTAGCTTATCCTGAGGAGACCATGTGATGTTGATTCCCAAAATGGAGGCACCCATAGACCAAAGAAAGAATTCTGTCCAGATTCAGCTTGGTGAACCAGTGAGTTTATTGGGGTTACTTATGGCACTGTGGGTGACTCATAGACCACCAGGAAGTCACAGAGATGGTGTTTAGGCAGCCATACTAGTGAAGAGTCCCTCTGGGTGGCTCACGATTATATAGGAAGAGACCCCACCCAGCCAACTCTTCATCTTCTGAATAACCTCAAGCAGCAGGGGGGTCTCTAGGTATCCTGGGAGCCCCATTCCTTTCATTCAGGAATGTCCACAGGTCAGATCATTTGAGGGCCTCATGTAATGATCACAGCTGCCTCACTGAAGATGGCCATGGCCAATCCAACCTGGAGGAAATGTCCACATACCTTCTTAGGCATCAGTGACTCTTGAGTGTCATGGTTTTGGAGGATGGACATCAACCAGCCTGAAGAAGGCTCTCCAACGAGTGCCTGGGTCACAGTTTTGGGAGGCCACACTCCAGAATCTGATCCTCCATTCACACGCCTCTGGATACTGTGGGGTGTGCTGCTGACTCCATCCTTCAGTGCGGCAAGAGGACAACCAACAGAGCCAGTGCCCAGGCCTCTACTAGTCTCTCCAGGCCACCCACATGCCTTGGCTCCTGACCTATTCAAAGTCAGTAATGCCAGAGGCATCTTACATGCTCCAGCTCTGAGCCCCTCCCTGTTACAGGACTCTGCGATGTCACTGGGCCACTGGGATAAGCCAGGTAATCTCCCATCCCAACATCCTTAACTTAATCCCATCTGCAAAGCCCCTTCTGCCATTCACGGGTTTGGGGATTAGGCTGTGGCCTTCTCTGGTGACCATTGTTACACTGACCGCAGAAGCAGACCCTGCCCTCACCCTGACTTCAGTTGGCGTCGACAGTTCTCAAGTGGCTTTGGCAAAGTGATTGACCCTGTGTGCCCAGCTCACTGGCCTGAGACACGGGAAGAATGGTTGCCACCATCCTCATTAGATCAAATGGGATGACAGGCCACAGCCAGGACTGAGATTCACTCAGGGCTAGCATGTGCTCACACCCAGCAGGAGTTGGCTCAGCCCCACTGTGTGCAGCTGGGACCTCCAGGAAGGAGGTTAAGATGCCTGGGCATTATCTTCATGACAGGGTGGCAGTTAGTCGCATGGTACATTGAAGACGGAGGCCACAGTGTAGGGATGCAGTTCCCAGGCAGGGCACTTGGTTGGCGCTGGCAAGGCTTCGGGTTCCATCTCCATGGAACACACAGGATGAAGAGGTGGAATCCACAATCTAAACCACAAGGCTGCCACAGCCTGAGGAAAGCACCATGGACATGGGGGAGGTGACTCCGTTGCTGTCGGCCTTAAGTGGACGTTGTCTGGGACCCCCCTGGATGGTCCTGCCTCTGGGTGAAAAGTAGATGGATGTGTCCTGCCCATCCTCTGTCTAGTGTGTGCTAAGACCCAGATGAGCCTTGAACTCAGAGCCTCATCATCCAGGCCCGAGTAACCTGAGGTCTAGAAAACAAAATACCCCACACCAGCCTGAGTCCTAGTGCGTACTAGGCATCTGATAGTGCCCACCTGTGTCCACGCTGCCCACCTAACTCACTGTGTCCCAGACATCCTAGCCTCCCTTCTCCTCCTGGGACATGATCTGTTCACTCCTACCTCAGGGCCTTTGCACAGTCTGCTCTCTCTGCCTAGAACACTCTGCTTACAGACAGCCACATGGCTGTGACTGCAACTTCTCTGTCACTAGTTTGCCCACCGCTGCCCTAAAGTGACCTCTTCCAGTCAGTCACCTCTCACAATCTAATTTTATTTTCCTCATCAACCTTGCTTGTGTATTTGTTTTTGTTTGTTTGTTTGTTTTTGTTTTGTTTTTTCGAGACAGGGTTTCTCTGTATTGCTTTGGAGGTTGTCCTGAACTCTCACTGTAGACCAGGCTGGCCTCGAACTCACAGAGATCCAGCTGCCTCTGCTTCCCGAGTGCTGGGACTAAAGGTGTGTGCCACCAACACCCATTGCTTGTGCATTTGTTTATTCACCCCTTCAACTCCGTGGAAGCAGAGTCTTCACTTGGTCCTGGATAAACCCTGCAGGGTCAGGCACAGAGTGACTGCTCAGAAAGCTATTTGTGGGACGAGAATAGAATTTGTGGATGAGTGACAATGGCAGTTTTCTGAGGGACAGTGAGGACCCAAGGTGGTATGGGCTGTTTCCTGGAGTCAGCGTCGTCAGTGGCAACAGGTGCCTGGGTGCCAGCACTAACCCCAGCCTCCTGTCCTTGCAGACTTCCAGCATTTGCAAGGCAGCTGTGCATGCAGGTGTCATCAGTGATGAAAACGGCGGCTATGCAGATGTGATGCCAGTGGACAAAAAGAAGAGCTACGTGGGCTCGCTCAGGAATGGGGTGCAGTCAGAAAGGTAGGGCTGGCCCTTGGGCCGGGCAGCATCTTACTTTGCAAAGCTGATTTGTTCTTTGTCACCATAGTGTCCAGGTTGAGTCTGGGATTCTCTCTCTTTTGATCCTTTTGTTTTCCAAGTTTCCTTTTTCTATTTCTGATGCATGCTTTGTGAAAAGTGTAGAGAGTTTAAATTAAGTCCAAAGCAGAGCATCCGTCTGTTGTCCATCACCTGGGAGAACTGCTGTACATTATTTTTGGTGTATAGGCTTCTAGCTCTTTTTCCTCATGTGTGCATTGTATGTACATATATGTGTCTGTGTGTATATGTGCATGTGTATGTAGGTGTGTGTGCGTGTGCGTGTGCGTGTGCGTGTGCGTGTGTGTGTGTGTGTGTGTGTGTGTGTGTGTGTGAGTGTATGTGTGCATTTAATTCATAAGACATAGGGGACCAAAGTCTAGCTTCCCAACAACTCTGAAAGCTGCATACGACTGTAGAGTCCTGCAGACGGCCACAATCTCCAGCACTGTCTGAATCCGTGCTGAAGCCTGCCGTGCTTTGGGTGACTATCATATAAGCCTGGAGGCTGGCCTGTCACCTCATCCTGGAGGCTGGCCTGTCACCTCAGCCTGGGTGCTGGTCTTGCTAAGTGTTTTTTGTTTGTTTGTTTTTGTTTTCTGTTTGTTTTGTTTCATTTTTTATCTCTGTGAAGCAAGCCTAACAGGACCAAGTGATTGTGACACCCACTCCTCCCTGTTTGGTAGTTCTGCCAGCTTCCCCGACCTCATAGGATTGATGACAAGAGTCATTGAGACAGGGCCTGGTGGTGACCAACAGGAAGTACAGGTCATGCTGACAGGTCTGGGTTTTCTCTTATGCAATCACAGGCCTGACTCCCTGCCCCTGCTGTGTCTATTGGCTGCAGTATAGGCCAGTGTTGGGTGCACATGGCTCTGGGCATTTTACCCCTGATGTATAGGGCCATTTCCACTTTGAGGCCTGAGCCACAGTGATGAGTCTCCTTCTTGTGGGACTTTGACACATATCCCAGGGATACTCTCAGATCCCCTACTGTCCTCTGATCCTTATCATGGCTTTCTAGAATGTTCTCCAGACAGTGTCTGTTCCATGTTTTTCATTCATGTGACCCTATTCTGTGGAAGTGAATTGCGAAGACCCATTTCCCCTGTGGTTTCCTCTTTAGGACACTAACTTCAGAGAAGGCCCTGCCTTGGCCCATAATGTGAGAGGGATTATCAAGAGACCTCCCTGGTGCAGAGTTGAGGGCCTGGCTCACACTAGTACACTCTGAAGGCCACAACCTTTCTTTCTCATGATTCTGGAGGCCACAGAGGTGTGAGCAGTCGTGTCTTGTGAGGCTGTAGACAGTTGCTTCTTGTGTTTTCACAAGTCCCAGGTCTGTCTCTCTCCTAGGCTGTGGGAGGGGCCTTGTGAATTCTGTGACTCTCAGGAACTTCCTAAACCTCATGAGGCTCCTTCTTCCCCAGGAGAGAAAGTTCTGATTGGGAAACAAAAGCTACAGCAGGGTGGCTCTAGTAAGTGGATGATGGAGTCCAGTGGTCCTGGCTACTCACATGACTTTCCAGTCTGTTCCAAGCCCTGAGACACTGGGTCTAGAACTAGGGCTGGTCAGCTCTAGTTCAGGAAAGACCCACATGAACTGGCTCTCAGAGGGGCACAAAGCCCTTACACATGGTCCCTCCTTCTGACACCAGTGGGTTCTTTTTGTTTGTTTTGTTTTGTTTTGTTTTGAGACAGGGTTTCTTTGTGTAGCCCTGGATGTCCTGGAACTACATTTGTAGACCAGGCTGGCCTCAAACTCATAGAGATCTGCCTGCCTGCCTCTGCCTCCTGAATGCTGGGATTAAAGGTGTGGGCCACCACTGCCTGGCTACAAGAGGGCTCTTTAGTCCCTACTCACCCATGTGGCCTCCTCCACACGGGAAGCCCTCACATTCCCAGGCACTGGATCCAGCCAGGAGCTTGAAGTTGAACCTCTGTCCTGTGGTACAGGCCTGACCACCTGGTAGGAACAGACAGAAGTGAGACCCAGGGGCAGAGCAGGTCTGCTGTGGAGGACTGGGAAGCCTGGGCCCTCCTTGGCAATGAGGCTCCAGCAGAGACACCATCTTTGAGTGTGGTAGTGCTCTGGCTTCCTCTTGTGTCTAAAGGACCTCAGTCACCCTTGATGCATGAAGTGACGTGGCTGGGGACACTCTCTATATAACTTGACCCAGTGAGCTGCAGGAACTGGTTTCAGAGCCAGAGGGTGGGTCTGTTCCCAGTGGATGCTGAGACCCTGGAAGCGTCACAGATAGTCCCAATGGTCATTAAGGCATAGGACATTCTGTGGTCAGTGTTTTCCAAATAGCATTTTATTTCTAATTAAAATAATTTTTATTTATTTTTATGCTTACTGTGTGTGTGTACACTCACATATACCACAACAGCATGTGGAGGTCAGGGGGGCGACTTGCAAGAGTCAGCTCTCTCCTCTACCATGTGGATCTCAGGGATGGAATTCTTGTCAGGCTCGGCAGTAAGTGCCTTTACCTGCTGAGCCATCTCACTCTCCCCTGTTATTTTCATTTTGTTTGTCTGAGATAGGATCTCATGAAAACCAGGCTGGCCTCCAACTTTACTGTGTAGCTGGGGGTGTCCTTGAATTTCTGATCTTCCTGCTCCCTACTTCCCAAGTACTGGGGCTAGATAGGTCCATGCCACCACTCCTAGCTTGGCAAATGGTGTTTTAAACCCTGAGTGAGACAGGCAGTGGTGGCACCTGCCTTTAATCCCAGCACTCGGGAGGCAGAGGCAGGTGGATCTCTATGAGTTCGAGGCCAGCCTGGTCTACAGAGCTACACAGGGAAACCCTGTCTCAAAAAACAAACAAAAATCCTGAGAGGCATGGGGTGCTGCTCACACTGGCTGGTATGACAGCTTTGATTTCACAATGGCTTGTTGGAGAAGGTTTCCTGGAAGTTGTGAAAGGTGGGTGTGTAGAAGTGAGATTCTCCAGGACAGCCTGTTCTCTCTCAGACTTGGGGCCTAGGCTGGCTAAGCCACATCCTCAGTGAGAGCAAGCACCCAGATAGACTCCTGTCAGCCCAGGGTGCTTCTTAAACTAGGGTGACAGATGAGTTTCCAGTCACTTGTGAACAGTAAACTGTGGGTAGAGTGGGGTATTCAGGTGCATTTTCACCTGGCTGTGGAATTGTTCAGTCAACAGTATGAGGGACTCTGGGCACTAACCTTGGAGGCTAAGGACAGGCATGGATAGCAGAAGTAAAAATCTCCATCCTAAGGGCCAACAGACACACAGCCTGAGCCATACAGGACCCCAGTCACACTAGTAGCCACAGTAAAAAAATAAAGAAGACAGGTGTTTGCTTGCATTTGATTTTAAGCCCAAGGCTTACAATGTTTCTCAGGAGTGAGTACTAGGCAAACCTGGATTTGCAAATGTAGAAACTGAGGCTCAGAGAAAGGGCTACAAATGGGGGCTTAGACTGGGTCTGCTTCAGTTGTTTTGTTCTCCCCCACCCTCCAGGCAGAAATTCACTATGTAGCTCAGGATAGCCTTGAGCTTGTGATCCTCCTGCCTCAGCCTTCCAAGTGCACACTCTGGCAGTCTCCATCAGTACAGAGGTGAGACTTGGCAAAGCAGGGCTGGGCACACATGTCTGCCAAGGGGAGAGCTGCATATATGTGCCTAGAGTCAGCAACAGCTTCTTCCCTGCCTTTGCCCTCCCTTATTATACTAGGATTGAACCCAGGGTCTCACCATGCTAGGCCAGCACTCTTATTACAGATCCATTTCTCCAACCAGTCTTTTTGCATTTTATTTTGAGAGAGGGTCTCACCAAGTTTCTCAGGCTGAGCTTGAACATGCTCTGAAGCCCAGATAGGGTTTGAACCAAGGATCCTCCAGCCTCAACCTCCCGAGTATCTGTGAACACAGTCCTGTATTACCAGGCCCAACTTCAGTATCTCTTAGCAATAGGAACACAACCACACTTTTCCATGGCCAAAATCATGGACCCCTCTGTGTCCCAGGATTCCATGACTCCCTAAGGCCAGCCGCCAACCCATAGAGGCACAGGTCATGATGCTCCGGAACCAGCTGTTCCCTCTCTCACTCCAGGCTCTGCTGGAAGGTTCCAGATGGCAAGAGCTCTTCCTCTCAGAAGGAAGCTCTGCTGGGCTGCTCTGCCTGCCCTGAGGAAGGCCCGATTCCCAGTACCTCTGCAATGTCCCAGAACAGCTGTGCCATGGCCTTTCAGGGGGCCTCCCTGCCCCTGCCTGTCTCCTTTTTCCTTCAGAGGGTCCAAGAAGTTTTTAAGAGGTAGTGAAACTAGTGTGTATGTGTGTGTGTGTGTGTGTGTGTGTGTGTGTGTGTGTGTGTGGGGTGTGTGTGGTTTGTATGTGCGAGTGTGTGTGTGTGTGTGTGTGTGTGTGTGTGTGTGTGTGTGGTGTGTGTGTGTATTGTATGTGCAGGTGTGTGTGTGTGTGTGTGTGTGTGTGTGTGTGTGTGTGGTGTGTGTGTGTATTGTATGTGCGTGTGTGTGTGTGTGTGTGTGTGTGTGTGTGTGTGTGTGGTGTGTTCAGAGGACGAATGTGGAGAGTCAGTTCTTTCTTTTCCACCTTGTTGGGCCAAGGTCTCACTTGTTTCTGCTGAGTAGCGTTCTCCATACTAGCTGGCCTGTGACCTTTGAGAGTTTCTCTGTCTCTACCTTGTATCTAACTGCAGGAGTGCTGGGGTTATAGATGAGTTCCAGCACATTGGCTTCTTACTTGGCTTCCAGGGATCAAACTCAGGTTATCAGGCTCATGTGGCTAACCTGCTGATCCATCTCCTGGGCTCTAGTAGTGAAAATAATTTTTTTCTGTTTTAGGCAGGGTCTCGCTTTATAGCCCTGGCTGACCTAGAACTCACTATGGCCTCATATTCAGAAATCTGCCTGCCTCTGCTACCCCAGTGCTAGGATTAAAAGAAAAGG